TCAGGGAAGTGATGCTGTCGCTTCTCCGGCTGTTGGTCCAGGAATCCCAGCGGGGGTACTCCCCCTTCTCAAACACAAACTGCTCTCCTTTGCAGCTTGCCTGCTCATAGCCCACCCAGCTGGAACAGAACAGAGGCTGAACTTCAGAGGAGGGCAGCGGAGCAGAACCGGACCCGACCACCGGGCCGCCGGCAGCGGGGCAAGAAGCGCCTCCGTCGCCCCAGGGGCACCCCGCTCTCGGACAAAGTGGAAATGAGGGTTCTGGCGGCCCTGGCCAGGGGTCCCCGGGGTGCCAGGGTGAGAGCAGCAGCTCTACCCGCGCGGCAGGGCCGCCTTGGCAGTGCACATCAGCACAGACAGCGCGGGAGCACAAGTGTCCTCAGCGCCATGGCCTGGACGGGCGCTGTGCTCCTGCCGGGGCCGCCCTACAACTGCTCCCCTGCTTCCCGTGCCCCCAGGGAACCGGCTCCGGCCTTTGGAAGTGTTTTTAGGGAATTGTTGCTGAGCAGAGCTCCCTGCCCCGGCTGGTGCTGGGCAGCACATTCCCTTGCTGGCAGTGCATACCAAGGGATCAAGAGATAGAGGGGAAGGCGGCGATGCCTGCAGGGCTGCACGGCGCGGCAGGAGCTGCCCGTGCCAGTCCCTGCTCCGACAAGAGGGAGCTCCAGCCGGGTGGGGGGACAGTCAGCAGTGCCATGAGTGCGGAGCCTTCCCACCCCCTTCCCAGCGAGGCGGCAGCCGGAGCCCGCGCGGCTCCCACTGCAGCAGGAAAGCCACGAGGACACGACAAGCCCAGCTCCCCGCTGCCCCGGCACTGCTGGCCGGGCGGACCGCGCCGCGGGGCCCGAGCGCCAGGCCCGCCTGCTTTATTGGCTGGGCTCCCCGAAGGGAGGGCACGTGCAGGGCCCCACACGTCTCCATGTGACCACCAGGCATTCAGCACAGGCAAAGGGAGAGAGGAGCCGTGTAGGGGGTTGGAGGGGCGGCCGCCTCCGGCCTCCGAGCAGCAGGGCCTCAACAGCTGCCAGGCGAAAGGAGCCTCCACCCTGGAGCAAGGACCGGCTCACAGGGAAGCCCCGTGCTGCCCACGAGGACTGAGCGCTCCTGGGAGCGGGGAGTGGAGCAGGGTCCGCAGGGCAGCTCGGGCTCTGCCCAGCCCCGGCTCCGCACGCGCTCCCGTTCCTGCCCCCTGCCGATACATACGGTCCCGCGTGCACGAGGATGGAGCCCACTTTCTCCACGCCGGCTTCCTTCAGGTTGGGGCAGGCTCCATTGAGCTCATGGCAGCGGCCTTGGAAATTCTCCTGCTCGAAGATGGCGATCTGCAACACGGGAGAGACGGAAGAGCAGCAGCACGTTGGCTTCCCCAAAGCGAGAGCCAAAGAAAGGCAGCTTCGTGGGCGGGACACTGCAGGGGACCTCCAGTAGATGGGCTACATACACTGTGCCCGCTGTGGGCACCACCAGCCATGGTCCTGCCTGGCTTTGGGGTCCCCCTGGCTCGGGACACACACAGAGAGCTGCCCCAGCAAGGCACACGTTGGAAAGGTGCCGCCAGCGCCGCTGTGCCCAGCAAGGCAGCAGGATAAGCGGGGCTTAGCCGCGCTCCAGAGGCTGCACCGTGCAAGCGCAGCGCGGGCTGCCGGCTCAGCTGCACGGCAGGAGCGAGCACGGTGTCTGTGCGGGTCAGGACCCATCTCGGAAAAGCACCCAGGGCAGAGCCAGCCAAACCCTCCCTGCGCCGAGCTCGCTCTCGTGGCCGAACCCCTTCCCTCGGCGGGAGCCACTCCGGGGAGGCCGCAGCCGCCCCAGGCAGGCCCCGCGCTCACCTTGGAGCTGGCTGGCTGCTGCTTGGAGGCCGGCATCTGGTGCTCCGAAGCCATGGTCAGGCGGCGGCTCTCGTTCTCTGTGCAGAAACGCGGTGGGGTCAAAGGCGCCCTTGGGGCGGCAGCGGGGCTGCGCTGCGGGGCGCTGCGCTGGCCGCCCGCGGGGCGCTCCCCACTCCGGCCCCTTGGCCACTGCAGGACGCGGCTCACGGAGCGGCGCCGCTCGGCCAGCGCGGGGATCAGCAGCCTGCCCGGGACGGGAACGGGGACTGGGATGGGGACCGCAGGTGGCGGGGCCAGAACGGGGGCTAGCTCAGGGACATGCAGAGTTTGCACCAGCTATGCCACGGCACAGCACGGCACAGCATGGTTTAGCACGGCACGGCATGGTGCAGAGGGCATGCAGCCCCGCGCACTGCGTGGGAGCACTCTCCCCGTGCAGCACAGCACCCTCCCCGTGAGACTTGCCCCTCAATCCCAGCGGGACACGGCTCCACGGAGCAGCACAGCGTGCCAGGGAGCGGAGCCCTGCGCGGGCGCCCGCCCGGGGCTGCAGGAGCCGGGGCTGCAGGAGCCGGGTGCCACCCTGCGCCCCGGCGCTGCCGAGCGAAGCAGCGCGGCCACGGCCGCCGCGCCGCTCACCTGTCCCCCCCGCTGCCGCTGTGTTGTGCTACGGGTGGGAGCTACTCAGCTCTGCGTTGCAGTGGGAACAAAAACCAGGAAAAAAAAGGACAATAAATAGAAAATTCTTACCAGTAATACCAGTACCCGCTTGAGCCAGTGAAGAGCTGGGGCTGAGAGGTGGAATTTATACTGCGCTGCAGAAGAACGGAGCCAAAACTATTTACAAAATGGTTAACGCATGATTCGAAGTGAGAATGCTGGATTAAAAGTCAATGCAAACGGAGGTCAGCTGATGCGCAGCAGCCATTGTCTCCCCAACACCAAGGCCGGGAATTATTTCATTAGCTTTCACATTCGCGCTGCCCGCTTTGTTGGGTTTGTTGGCAAGGAGATTTGGAGTTTGCAAGCATCAGCCGAATGCATGCCAAGACCCGGACCATCTCTTTCAAACAAAGCAGCAGCCAGCCCTGCTTCAGGATTTTTGGAGCCAAAGACTTTATCCCTCTGACAAACCGACGGGCTGCCCCACAGCTAGATGCACAAAAAATTGCTGAAGTTGGCTGTTTTTGCGCCCGTCAAAACTGGCGCTTCCAAATACCTGGTAAGTGTCTGTCCACAGCGGCCTCCTCCTCCAGCAGGAAGAGCAGCCGCGCGCCCGGAGCCCGGCGAAGCGCCGGGGCTCTGCTGGCGCGGGCACCGCGCACCCAAAGGTGCGGGCGAGGGGGAGGCAGGAAGGGGCGAGCAGGGGGTGCCCGCACCCCGGGGCAGCCCCGTGCCAGGAGGGCAGTGCCGGGCGGGCGGCTGCACCCGCAGCACCCGCTTCGCGGGGCGCCTTGGGGCACCTCGAGGTGCTGGGGGCACTGGGGGCCTCGTCCCGCTGCGGCGCTGCGCAGCCTGGGCGCCCTGGTGGGGACATGGGTGCCGTGGGAGGCCGTGGGAAGGAGCCGCATGCGGCCCTGCCAGCGCCACGGCCAAAGCCAACATCAACAGCGGCGGCTCCAGCCGCCGGCCCGGGGGCCTGGCGGGCGCCGCGGGGCCAACGGCGGCGCTTGTTGCGGCCGCGGTGCCCGCGGGGGCTCGGCAGCAGTTCCTGCGCAGCCCCCCCGTCCCCGTGACACGCGTCCCAGCGGCCCTGCCGCGCACACAGGGTCCCACGCGCAGCGGGAGCCGCCGCCGCAGGGGTGCCCGCGGAGACGCTGCCCGTGCAGCCCCGGCCCTGGCGCCTGCTGCACGCGGGGCCCGCGCCTCGCATGGCCTGCGCCTCCTCCCGGTGCTGCGGGCTCTGGGGGCGCAGGCCCTCGGTGCGGGCGCCCCCATGTCCCATGATCCCAGTGTCCCGCAGCCCGGCGCACTGCAGCCGGCCCCTCGCGTCCCCCGGGCTCGCACGGCGGCCGCGCGGCGCCAGCTGCCCTCCAGGCGCTGCCGCCTCCTCCGGCGAGCCCAGCCCCCCATGGGGGGTCCTGGGGGCCCCCCCAGCACGTGAGCATGGGGGCCGCGTGGCTCGAGAGCAAAACCTTTTCCAGACTCCACTCTCTCCCCCAGCAGCTCTGCTTTGCAAGCAGCCCTGCAAGGGCTCCCACGCGTGGCGATGCCCCGGCTGCCGTGGCCACGGGTCCGAGGTGGCCGCTGTGTGCACAGTGCGCGCCCCACGGCCCACGGGCACTGCAGCCCCTTGTGCCAGGCCAAAGCAGTGCTGCCCCGGGCCCAGGGACACGTCCTTGCGAGAGCTGCCCCGGGGCTGTGCTGAGCACCGCGACTGCAACCGCAGTGGCTGCTCCAGCGGGCGAGCGAACGTGGCCGTGGGCAGGGAGTGACTAAAGGCCCTGGGGAAGGGGTTTTGACCCATGTGGGTGCCCACAGGGCCGGGCCTCCTGCGCTGCGGGTGCTGTGGGCCCTGCTGAGGACCCTGTGCTGCAGTGCAGGGCTGCTCTGCAGCTGCAGCATGGCTGCCCAGCTGCTTGCAGAGCAGGGCCGCTGCAGCGCCCGGCGGCGGCTGCTGCAGCCTGCACTGCGGCTGCATGCAGGGGGGTGACGGGCCCCTTGCAGCACGGGAGCCCACCCGGGGCCTGGGTGATGGGGCCCCTTGCAGCACAGGAGCCCACCCGGGGCCTGGCCCTGGCCGCGTGGCCCCAAGCACGGGCTGGGTGGCACCTGCAGGAGAGGGGCCAGCCCTGCAGCCGCATGGGGCCCTGGTGGTGGATGCGCTGGGGCTGGGGGTGCCGCCAGCGTACGCTCTGCATGGGACACTGTGCACGGAGGGCAGCTCTGCTCCGGCCCCCCTGCTGCCCCATGGTGCCTTCCTGCCCCCAGTGCCCTGAGCAGGGGCATTAAAGGTGTGTCTGACCTGTGCCCGTGTGTCAGTGGGAGACATGGGGAGCCCCGGCGGCTCCCGCACCCCCGGCAGCCCCAGCACCCTGGCCCAGCCCCACACCACCAAGGCAGCCTCCAGCTCAGAGCTTTATTGAGGTTTTGCAGCAAAAAAAAAAGACAGGGCCACGTCAGGCCGCGGTGCCGCGCGGCGGCGGCGGGCGCCTCGGGCTGGCGGCTCCCTCAGCTGTTCTCGAAGGCGCCCCGCTGGTGCCACTGCTGGTCACGGACGCGGCGCACCGACTGGATCAGCGGCTGGTTGGCGTCCCACTCGTTCCAGTGCCGGTACTCGCCCTTCTCGAAGACGTACTGGCGGCCCCGGTAGCCGGGGTACTCGTAGCCCACCCACCTGCGGCGGACAGGGAGCCGTGGGCTCGGCCCGCGCGGCCGCCCCCGGCGCCGGCGCTGCCCCGGGGCCCTTACGTTCCGTTGAGGGCCTTGGCACTGGCCACGCGGTCCTGGAAGCCGTGGGCCCACAGGCTGGGCACGTCGTCGTCCACGATCTCCATCTTGCGCCCGGCGTAGCCCGCGTTCTCAAAGAGGTGGATCTTGTGGTCGGGGCCGTCCTGCAGCGGGGCGGCGGGTGAGGGCCGCGGCGGGCACCCGGCCCCGGTGCCGCGGCGGCGCCTACTCACGATCTGCAGCGGGCGCAGGGACATGAGGCTGTCGCTGCCGCGGCTGCTGGACCACGAGTCCCAGCGCGGGTAGTCGCCCTTCTCGAGCACAAACTGCTCCCCGGCGAAGGCCTGGCGCTCGAAGGCCACCCAGCTGCGGGGACACGCGCGGTGGGGCGGCCGCGCGGGCGCCGGCCCCGGCCCCCCGCCGTCCCGCACTTACGGGCCCGACTCCACCTGCACGGAGCCGACCTTCTCGAGCGCCCGCTCGGCCACGTTGGGCAGCTCCTCCGTCAGCTCGCACTTCTTGCCCTGGAAGTTCTCCATCTCGTAGAGCGTGATCTGCGCGGGGAGAGGCGCCGCGGCAGCCACATTGAGCTCGGCAGCCGAGCGCTGAGCTGAGCAGACGGCCCTGCTCCAGGAAAGCACCCGCGGTCCTGGGCACCAGGCTGCAGCCAACACGGCCCGTCCGGAGCAGCACCCGGAGGGGACGGGCTTGTGCCGCGAGGCCTGGCCCTGCCTGTGGTCCTTCTGATGGCTCCAGTGGGACTTGTGAGCTGCACGGCCTGGCGCTGCCCTCGGGATGAGCCTGGTGCCGGGGCAGCAGCCGCGCTCTGCACCAGGCACAGCCACAGCGGCGCGGGGCAGTGGAGGCGGCACCGCGGCCCTCAGCGCATCCTCACAGCCCAAAGCGCCCGGCAGAGCCAGCCCCGCGGCCCCCAGCGCCGTGGGGCCTTTCACGAGGCCGGGCCCCGGCTGCGGGACTCGGGCCGCAGGATCCGCTCACGTCTCCAGCCTCCGGCGGAGCGCAGTGCCCGCTCTCTGCCCCTGCTCCCCGCTGCAGGGACGGCTGCACCCACGGCAAGACCCGCAGCTCGCGTGCTGCCCGCCCGGGCTCCCGCTGCATCTCCCTGTCTCACTGGAGCTCTCGCGCAGCAAACAGCGCTGCCTCCAAACGCACCCAAACAGCGGCTTTCGCACCCGTGCACCAGGGCGGTCATCCTGCAGCGGTGCCCGGCTGTGCCCGGCCGAGCCGGCGCTCCCGCCCGGAGCCGCCCGCGCGGCCTCCCCCCGGGGCAGCTTCGGCCCTGGGCACAGGAGCCTCTGTGGTGACTTCATCTCCTGGATTAAAGGCCGCGCGGCTGCACGGCCCTGGCTGCCGGGCAGAGGCACTGGGAAGCAGCCAACGCCCCGAGACGCTTCTCCCTCCCAGGCTGCAGCAAATGCCCCCCTGCGCGCAGGGATCCACGTGCTCGGCCTGGAGGCCCCGACACGAGTGACGGCGGCGCCGTGGGGCCTGGGGCCGCCCTCGCGCCCGGGCTCCAGCGCGGCCCCGTCACCGGCCCCGGTACCTTGTAGTTGCCGCCTCGCTCGCCAGTGCCCTCCCCGGTCGCCATCTGCTCGGGGGGGCTTTGCTGCTCCGTCATGGTGCCTGCAAAACCCCAAAGGGCAGAACGTTAGCACAGCATCCTCTGCACGTGACCCTGAGTCTTTACACCGTCAAACGCTCAATGAAAAAGGGAGAGCGCACAAGCACTCGTGGGAGCAAAAGGCAGCAGTCCTGAACACGGCTGCTCCCTGCTCACGGGTTCCCGGGGTTCTAGGCCAGGAGCAGGCGCATCCCTCCGCCTCCTCTCCCTCCTTCCAGGCCCTGCATCCTGTCCCGCTCCCTGCAGTGCGGGGCCCAGGAGCCTCTGGCTGCACCAGGGCGCACGGGATGCCCGGCCGCAGCCCGGGGCTCGCGGAGCTCCCGGCTCCGCACCCGGCTGCAGCTCCCGGTGAGCTCGGCTGGTGAGCGCCTCCCCCTGCTCCCGCCGGGCTACTTTAATGGCATGCGAAGATGTAAAAAAGGGACGAATCAAGAAACTAGAGCCCTTCGAAGTCTTAATTAAAACCCTGCGGTACCACTTCTTGGCAAACACTAGCAAAATATCCAGAGCGGCAGGAGCCGCGCGGGGGACGCACTCGCTGGCTCTCCTGCTCGGCCCTCGCAGCCCCTCCGGCGCCGCCGCTGCTGCTGCCCGCGCTGGCCGCGCTCTGGGGCCGCGCCGGCCGCCCCGGCTATTTATGGGCCGCGTCTGAACAGAGCAGCACATTATTTGGACGCTGATACAGCAGCTGCGTCTACTGAATTCCATCCATGAGATTTCATTTCAATAGCGCCCGCTCGCAGGGTACCATGGAAATGTTTTCAAATTTCTCCCGGCTGTCCCTTAAAAATGTGCCACTCGATTTACAGAAGATTAGCGTCAAAATTCACATCAGCATGTTCACGTTCCTTCTTGCCAGGTTCTCTGGAAAACTCTCCCATCAGCAGTTAACGGCAGGGTTTAACCTCAAAACCAGGCACAGTGCAAAGCAAAAAAACCCTGCAAAATATTTCCAGCTTGTTCGGACCGGCACACGAGAGGCGGCGCGGGGCGGCCCCGGCGCGGGTACCGGGCAAACCCACGGACCCCAGGGAGCCTCGGCCCCCTCTGTGGCTCCCGTGGGTGCTGGGACCCCGGCGCTCGCCCCTCGTGCGCGAGGGACCTGTCCGGAGAGGTCCAGCGCACACGTGAGCCCCACGCGCCCCGGGTTGGGGCTCGGTGCAGGATGCGTTTGCTGCCCTTATTCGGTGATGTTTCACAGCTACGAAGACCCCCGCAGGCAGCAGGTGCAGGGGGCATTTTTATTGCATTGCCACGGGCAGTGCCGGCTCCTTCGCTAACGCAGCGCCCTGGGCTCGGGGACGCGGCGGCTGCTTTGTGCAGCACAGCCCTCCGTGAGCCCCCCATGCCGCGCAGCCCCCCGTGCAGCCCAGGGCACTGCTGCCTTCCCACAGGCCCCATTCACCCCACTCCACCTTTCCCATCACAAGAGCCGGGGCCGGGCGGTGCCGGCAGAGCTGGCTCCGGCCTGACCGCGGCTCCGGGGCCACCAAGGGTGATGGAGCTGGGGGCCGGGACCCCGCGATTCCTGGCCACGCGACTCCTCTGGCTCTGTGCCCAAGACACTCCTGCTGTCTACAAGCAGCAATATTATTAAGGACAACATTACTGTAGTGTCAGTAAGCGTTTTCTCCCCTCCCATAGTAAGTGAAAAAGGTAGAGACAGAATTTCATTTCACTGGGCACAGGCTTAAAGGGCTGTATAAATATTAGCATGATATTTGTCTTGGAGCTGCTCTGACTCCCACCAACATATTCTGGTGCCTCAGCTCTCCACGACAGACCGGTACCGAACCACAGCCCCCATTTCATGGCCTAGGACAGGGCACATTGCAGCCTGTTTACACAGGTACTTGGGTTATCACCTACCTGCTGCTGCTGCTCCAGACAGAACATCTAAATAACCGCTTGCATTTAGAAATCCCACATAAAATGCACGCAGCAGTTTGGCCCATAACTGTCTGCACACAAAATACCAGCGTGAAGACCCGTGTGCAAGCAGGAGCCTGGGAGCTTCGAGTCCCGTGGGACACGGTCCAGAGACGGCCTGGAGGGGAAGGGGAAACACGTCGCATCTTTCCACACAGCGAACAGAAGCAATCCCAAAGCAGAGGCTTTTGAACAAGCAACTACTAAAACTCAGGCTGTACCAGCTTCACCCGGGTGAACCTGCAAACAGAGGATGCAAAGAAAGAAATCTGCAGCTGCAGGTGGCAGCAAAAAGAAGCGGAAAGGCTGAAGGTGCTTTCCAGAAACAACAAATTAGAACTGAGGGAGGATTCCTGTTAATGGCAAGAGAAAAACACAGTCAGAAAAGAACCATTTCCAAACGCCACAAACCACACACTTCTCTATTAAAAAGGTGCTCTACCTGTACAGCTGGGGAAGAAGCGGCAGGGAAAGAGGAGAACAGCCTCAAAGCAACAAACTGAATACTCCACTGCTCTGTATCCCACGGGAATGTCAGGATCTTGATCGCATTTGCTACCAAAAACCACTAGGATGAGAGTTGGGATGTGCTCGTAGGACAGATTCCGATAACTAATGGAAAAGCAAATCCAAAGAAAGTGCTGAAACTAGGAGCTCATTCCCACTTTGTATTAACAGCAAATAAAACATGTGGCCACAGAAGAAAGAACAGGCATTATTTGGAATTAAAATAAAATTGTATAATTTGTATTACAGTATGTTCTATCATTTATGAAGTAATAACATATATATAGTTCTTTTATTACATAGTGAGAACCTGAAGAGAAGGAAATACATATTTAATTCATATACAAGAAGTGATAGAGAAGAAAAAAACACTTTCCCATTCAACAACATTCTAAAGATGCTTTTTAATCAGACACTTAAGCATTAACATTTCTCAGTAGTAGGTTAAACTGCTAAATACAGCTAAGTTTCAGTGCATTGTCCAAGCAGACGTGGAAATGCAGATACATTCAAAGGGCTTTGTGGAAACCTAATATTCTTCCCCTCAGTTTCCTCACGCACAGAGCAAATATTGCAGTTTAAATAATTTCTGGCCTTCATTTATTAGATCAAGAAGCATTAAATCCTCCAACTACGGGTAATGAGACACTGTCAACCTGCTGAATTCTAAAATTAAGACTCTGTAAATATTCTTGTAAGCGGGGGAATTTACCTGATTTCTAGACACTTCTTAAAATAAGTCCCACTCGACTTGAGTAATGATAAAAAAAAATAATGATTATTCGTCTGTCGCACCTGCAAACATTGCTGCTTGCAAGCTACCTGAAGTGCATACATCACACCCGGCATACAGCTGATGACACTCTGAATGCTGTCTCAAAAAGACCCCAGAAGTCGCCTATCAAGGCTTTTTCTAAGAGTTGCCTTTTCCAGCATCATCTAAGGAGGAGGAACAAAACACATAAAACGTATTATAAAATTAATTACGAGCAGCTCTCTAGTAGTCTGCCCAGCTGCAGCCTGGGGGGAGGCCCTCTCCGCTTGCCCCCGGAGAGGCGCCGCAGAGCACGAGATGCCCGGCAGCGACCTCGGTGCTGCTCTCGCTGGCGGCAGGGAGGCCTGAAAGGGCTCTGAGGTGACGGGGCGGCGGCGAACGGAGCCCTTCACCACTCGCTCCCCCTCCACGGAGCACCCAGGGCCGCCCCGGCCCCACAGAGGGGTCTCCCGACCCGCTGCCGTCCCCCAGGAGCGGAGCGGGAGGGCAGGCAGGGCCCCGGCCGCGGTGCCTCCAGGGACAGAGGCTGCTGCTGCGCCGAGTATTGGAGACCCCCTCAGCAGGACACGGAGGGCAGGGACACCAACAGCAGCCTGGCTGCTCCCCTGGTACCGCAGGGCCACTCACGGACCCCGTCCGCGCAGCCCCAGTCCCTGCCGAGCGCCACCGACACGACGGAACGACTGCTGCCGGCTGCATCCGCAAAGGGGTTCTGAGAAAAGCACTTCCTCAGGAAAAGAATAAACTGCCTCTTAACTGGACACCTCTGTGGAGGCACCAAACCTGCATTCAAAGATATATTAATATATATTGGTGATAGCAGTGATAATCAGAACACCAGTGCTACGGATGAGATTACCTACACGGCTACTCTAACCAAAAGAAGATAGGTAATTCCTTGGAGAAACTGAAAAACACCTTTAGCTTATCCTGCAAAATTAGCGTAGAATAAAAACATAAAACTGGTATTTACAGATTAATGAATAAAAACACGAAGTGGGACTATGCAAACTGCTATTAAAGTGACATTCAGTAATTAACTGGAACCCTGATATGAGTTTAGCATCCTCCCTCTTCCCTTCCTTTTTTTTTCTTTTTTTAATAAAAAACAGTATTTACATGTATTTTTCAAGAGAACTGGTTGACATTATTGCTTGATCCTTTTTAGGAAAGACATTCCAATGAAGCAATTATTCCACATGCTGACAAAACACAGAATACCATTTCAAGAATGACAAAAATTAACATTTTGTTCATCTAAAAATTATACTCATCTGCTAGACCAGCAGATCACATGTAAATATAAGCCAATCAAAAATACATTTTACAAAAAATAATCAAGTTTCCTTTTTCAGTATGGCAGTAAACATAATTTGTTCTTTCACTCTCACCTTGCACAAACTGCATTCTAAATCAGAGCTTACTTTTTTTTCTTTTTTACAAAAAAGATAAAATTGATTAAAATTGTTATTTTCATAAGCAAATACAAAAGCAGCCTGGGAGCTGGCAGCCCCCCAGAAGTGCCGCTGCCGGGGCGCCGAACACGCACACGGGAGCGGGCGTCGTGGGAGGCAGCGAGGGGCCCGTCCCGGTGCCCAGCACGGCCAGACCGGCGCTCCGGCCCCTCCGTGCTACCTGTGGAGCTCTCGCTCCTCCTGCCAGGGCTGACGTGGCTCAGCTCCCGAAGCTGGAAAGATGCAGCTTTGTATTTGACTATGAACGTTAAGCAGCTTTCTCCACAAAACAGGAAGGCACCATGCACATAGCAGTTGAGGCAGGAAGCAAACAGCAGCAACATGACGTGTGAATTTTAGGTTCAGATGAGTTAAGGCTTCTGTTAAACTTCTGTATCTTCTCCTGGTCATCGTCATTATCTACAGAGAGAAAAAGGGAAGCTACTGAAATAACTCAGTGTGGGACGGATAAGGAAACAGACCCTGAGATGTGTCTGCAACTGGGAGGTCCCCATCAGCACCCGTTACTGGTGCTGGGTCACCCTGGTCTCACATTATTCAGTGTTCCGGGTGCCCGAGAGCTGCCCCTGGCACAGCGCAGTGCACAGCCCATGGCAGGCTCCCTCCTGGAGCCTCGTGGAAGCGCTGCAAAACGGCAGCACAAAGGCACAGGGAGCTGCAAACCCCAAAGTGCTCGGAGAGAAAGCGCCTGCACCAGCTGGGCGCTCGCTGCCGTGAACGCGGCTCTGCCGCAGCTTCCCGCTCCGTGGCAGCGGTCTGCTTTAATGCTTACACTTACAAATTGTAATGCTGACACACTCAGGAGAAAATCCACATTTTGATTATTATTTACTTAAAAGTGAGTGTTAGAGACCTGCTGCATGATGAACCGCAGCAGCGGGCGCAGCCCGTATCCTCACACCGTCCTCCACGCCACCCCACGGGAAGGACATCACGCCCTGCACTGAGGGTCCTCAGCGCACACTCCCACACAGCAAAAGCAGCCTCAGAAGGTACCTTTTCAAACCTGATTCTCATAATGGCTCTGTCTCTTCTTTGATTTCAGCTCCTTCAGCCACTGAGGGGACTTTTCTTCTGACCTAAGGTACACAAAATATTTTCAGCTTGCTTTGGAAGCCGCGGGGAGGTGAACGTTCCCGGCCCCCCGGGACGGGCCGGCGCTCACCTGTCCTCCCGCTCCGCACTGGAGGGCGGCACTCTGCTCCCGGGGGCTTTCGGGGACTTGAACAGCTGCGCAGAACTTACTTCACCAGAAGTCTCAGACTCCTGTCTTTTCCGCAACTGGGCCTAAAAAAAGAAAATAAATAAATAAATAAAATAAATAAATAAAATAAATAATAAAATAAATAATAAAATAAATAATAAAATAAATAATAAGTGCTTATTTTTAAACTGGCTTCTTCTACAAAAAAGTTTTTTTGCAATCAAATCACTCAAATTTACAGAAACACATGCCTTAAATCAATGAAGAAAAACCTTGCAAGCCTATGCAGCTCCAAAAACTTATTTACTCTTGCAAAGCTGATTTTCCATCAAATAATTTAATATTTCTGTCCAAGAGTTAAAAAATGAGAAAGCTAACTGCAAGATTTCTGCACAGATCATAAAGCGCCACCCATGCCCGTGCTCAGCCCATCTGCACCATCATCTTCAACAGAATTCCCTGCGCTGTTTCCAAGTGGCACCCGCAATTACAGAACCAGGTTAGGTCTGATCCGACAGGCTCCATCAATGGTCACCTTGAGGACAGCGTGGTCCATTCCCGGGAATACTGGAAGCCTCTGAGCTTGTACAGAAGATGATTTCCCAATACGATGTATTTTCTCTTCCTCATCAGAATCTTCTTGTTGCATAGTTTTCTTCTCTTCTGGTAATCAGTTATATAACAAATAGCACAGAGAGGGGAGGAAAAAAAATAAAGAAATTAGTCAGCAAGTTTCGCATCTATAGTCTTTGCTCCACATCTCTTCCTTCATTAAAAATATATTAATAGCAATACTAATACACTCTATTCAGTTTGATGACACATTCTGCCCTGCGTTCACAAGCTACCCAAGTGCTACCAGCACCAGGCAGTGATTTAGCACCCACACACCCGTTAAGCCATCCAGGCCCTTGGGTGAGCAGGGATTTTCAATGCCTCCTGCTTTTCCTATTGCATCCTAAAGAACAGGGCAGGCCACGAGAGAGATATTCTTGACAGGACGGTTTGAAGGAGGCAAATTATCCTCAACTAGGCTCCCTTCTCCTGTAGCAATTATAGCTGCTAGAAAGGAAGAACATCTAGGAGGCACCTATAGAATACAAACCATTACAGCTGCTCTCATCCATTACCCATAGGTTTATGCATGTGAAAAATACACTGAAGAATGCATCCAAAAAACAGCAACGTAACTTTTTAGAGGAACGGACACTGAATTATCTTAACGAAGCATGAAAGCACTACCACCAAGCACAACCCGGATAATTACAACATTAACCATCTCTTATCACACCGAATGTTATCATTTTTGGCCAAACAGTCGTAACGGTTTCTGAACTCATTTACTTCTCAGTGAAAAGCTTCTCTTATATCAAATGCCAGGAGGCAAAGGAGGCTGCATCAAAGCCCCCTCATGAACCTGATCATGGTTAATTATTTCAGGCAGCTCACAGATACCTGTGGAATCTTTAAACATCCAGGAAGTGTCTGGATCCTCCAAAGAAAATCTGTTCTCAAACTCCAACCCTCTACTTCTTCGAAGAGAGTGGGAAAGGGGGGCCCGGTGGCGTCTCTTTTTGCTGAGCTGTGCACGAGTCTTCAGTGCGCTGGAGTCTAGGACAGTGGTTTGCTATAAAGGAGAAGATAAAATAAATTTACTCTTAACCAGACTGAAAACAGTCAATTCCTCCATAATGATCTCACAACCTACTCTCAGGCCTTCACCCATTTAGCTTTATCAAAAATACATGCACCTCATTATAATTCCTGTGGTTATTTTAAAGCCATATTAAAGAGAATGTATGATGAGGGTATGCTGCACAGTGACTAACGGGATACTGTGAACTCCCTCGGCTGCAGATGCCCTATCTGCAAGATTTGTTTCCATTAATAAAATAACTGAATTGCAGTAAAATAGGACTTTGGTTCGCAGTCAGCTTAGGAATCTAGGCCATGCTGGCGGGTACCTGGGGGCTGGTGCAGCGGGCTGAGCTGTGAGGAGGCAACGGGCGGCAGCGCCCGCTCCCCACGCGGGGAATCGCCCGCTCCCCCAGCCCTGCTCCTCGGACACCGCACTAGCAAACAGCACTCACGGTACTTCAAGGGAGCGTGTTACCTCCGAGGTGCAGTGCTGCAAACCAAGGTCTACGTGCTAGTTGTGGTAAGGCTTTCAAAGAACACTAATCCACGCTTACCTGAACGGCCAGAAATTACAGTTCCCATGCTATCTGCAAGATTTTTATTATGAACAACCTTGAAAATATAATTCTAAGCTATTACAGAAAGACACTTCCTTTAAATAAGAAAAATATTCCTAACTCCCTTTTTCTCTAGTTTTAAATGTGCACTTTCATAGCACAGCAAACACTAGCTATTTGTGTCATTTAACTATGTAGTTTTTGCAATGTTCATGGAACCATTTAACGCCTCTGTTGTAGCTCACTGAGGAGCAGAGGGAGAAAGAGCAACTTTACAGCCACTGACAGGCATTATTCAAAGCCAGTAACCCTTCGGAATGCTAGAGAGTCCCACCAACCTGAGTATCACGGGAATTACCAGAACTTGGTAGCTTTGATCTGAAAGTTTTCATGGGACACCAACTCAGCTGGAAAAATTCAATGTGACAAAGGAAAGGCAGGGCAGGGCCGAGCGCCAGGTCTGCGGCGGGTTGGCACAGCGGAGGTTAGTGCCAGTAACAGTGTAGTTAAAACACAACGACAACAACCCTTCCCTGTTACAACTCACATCAATGAACGAGAAATCAGTGGTCTTCTCCTCGGGGTAGGTGTCTCCAGGAGGAGGCAAGTCGGCCCCATCCGTGGAGTCGATGTCAGTGCTGGAACGGTCCAGGCTTGTGCTCCTTTGGTCTCTCGAAGAGTCATGGTGATCAACCTGGGAGGCAGGTTCCGTTTGGGAGGACAGGGAGGACGGATGGCTGTTGGGGGGCTGCTTTCTTGATGAAATGACATTGTTTTCTGAGGATGGAGATTCGGCTGCGAAGCTGCAAGTGAACAAAAGGAGGTCGGTGAGATTTCAGGGGGAACCAACACAGGCCAGGGGGTTTCGCACCACGCAGACTCCGCGGTGCTGAGCGCCGAGGCAGGGCACTGGGATGGCCCAGAGCGGGCAGGGGCGCGAGGCCCGTGGCGCCAGCCATGCAGCACGGGAGGAAGCAGCGGGTTTCCGTGGGCTGGCGCCGAGCCCTGCGGCGCTGCCCTCGCTGCAGCCGCACTGGGGCACCCCACGAAGCCCCCGGGCACCCCCTGTGTGCCCTGCCCCTGCCCCGTGGGCCCTCAGCACCCGGCTGCGGTGGGGAACGGCTGAAGACACCAGGCAGGATTTTGTAGGCATCAATAAATGGAAGCTCAGGCCAGAAGCAGCAAAGGCATCTCTGGAGGTACCAGCTGCAGGTTAAAAATGAGCACTGGGAACGGTCCTTAGCCACAGAGCAGCACAGTCTGTGCTCTACGTAGGGATAAGCACTCAGGAGCTGTCAGTAATCCCAGTTCCACATGACAGAATTACGTTCAGCAGTGCAGAAGATTAAAATGTTTTCAGATTTGTGATGTTGAGCTGTTAATAGAGATTGGGTTAAAAATGGCATCCCATATGTCCTGGCAGACAAAGTGTCTGCACTGATGCTGTCCTGAAATTAAGAGTGTTTTCACTTCAGCTGTATGAGATTTTATTTCTCTTACTGCCACTACTTTAAGGCCTTAAGAGAAAAGGAGCAGCAGCAATGGGAACCTAGTGATCTGTAATTGCCAAGGTGGGGGAGAAGGAGAGTGGACGTTAGCAGGCTAAGTGGATCAGATACTCATTGGAAAGTTAGCAATTTTAAGCAGCAACTTGATCCCATGCGAGTTTTGGGGCTCATCAAGTGGCTCGTCTTGCAGCGCCTGCCATGCTCTGCACAGGCTGCAGCCTGGCTCTCCTCAGGCATGAAGAGAATAAACGGGAGGAAAGAGGATTGGAAAGGCAGGGGAGAGGGGAAATCCCTACAGAAATCCCATGGGAAAGGCTGAGCCAAGGACTCCAAAAGCCCATGGGGACAAGTGCCCTCCGTGTTTCCCAGCACACTACAGCTCCATCCACCACGCTCACTTGCAGCAGGGGCACAAAGCCGAGGGGCGAGTCCAGCTCTGCAAAGCGGCCTCTCCTGCCTTGTCCTGGGCTTCGCCCAGCCCGGGCACAGGCGCCTTGCACGGCGCGTGGCACAAAGGGAGCGGCGAGCAGCAGGTGGCACCAAACCGCAGCGCTGCAGCCGGGCGGCCCCGGCGCGCAGGGATGCGGCCGGACTGGGAACACACCAGGAACAGCCCAGGCCGGAGGCTGCCGTGCGCACCCCAACAGCCGCCGCTCTCTGCACCACGGCACACGCCAGGGCAGCGTCACCACTGTCACTGCACGTGGGCAGGTGTCTCCTGTGGACGTGGGCTGGGGGCCCCACGCAGCAGCCCGGGACGGCTGCAACGACAGCCGGACTCACCAGCAGAGCCGGGGGCTGCCCCATCCTGACGTCAAGAGCTAAAGTTTGGAAGGGGACAGGGGAGGAGATGACATTTTTGCTGTGCTAAGCAGACTCCTTTATTACAAGCACTTTCTCTTAAGAACAGTTCTGAGAAAACCCCTCTAAACCCAAATAATCAAGATGTATATACATATACATTACCTACATATGTGTGTGCATTACTACCTAACGTGCGCATGAATGAACATATGCACATGCCCCTTGGACGGAGCAGGGCACAGGGTTGGCGCGGACCCTCGTGGTGCCCGGGCGGGAAGGAGGGAGCCGCGGGTGCCGCTGCCCTCCCTCCCCGCGCCCACGGGAACCGGGCACTGGCGCTAACGAGCTCCGGGGGGAGGCTCTGCTCTACGCTGCGCTGCCTTCAAAGATGTTTGGTGTCTGCAGCGTGAGACCTTGGATCCACCAGAAACAGGGAGAACGCAGAGATAAAAGACCATTAGGAGACGAGCATTTGGTGGAAGTTAAAACTGTATCTGAAAAGGATCCTCTGGGACTTGTGCATCTGGAAAGTCTCTTCCTACGGCCTAGGGCTTCAGCTGATAAAAACTTCCTCTCCGATCTTGCTGCTGGGATTTATTTTGCATCCTTCTCATCATGTCCTTAGAAATCCCCATTTTCTGAGCACATCCTACATATGGGTCCTCGTAAACTCCCAAGGATGCTCAGCAGGTGTCACTGACAGACACTTGCTCCTCTCAAAGGTTCTTTCACTTAGAAACGCCAGCAAAATGGATGCAAAGATATGCAATAAATTAAGTTCAATCTTCACTTTAAAATGAAATTGAATTTAATTAGATGCAGCAAGACTGTACTAGAAGGTACAAAATGTGTCGTGTCATCCTGGGAAAGGAGGAGGCCGGAGGCACCGCAGTGCATCACAGCAACCCTGCAGAAGAGGTGTGAGCATCAGAAGGCAGCTCCGGATTTATCAATTGCTAAAACTCCCTCATCACTCAAGAAACAGCCCCACATAAAAAGGCCCTTTTATTTTATGTAATTGCAGACTGACATCCATTATAGTAACCGACCCCATAAGATGGGTTTCTTTTCTAAAACACGGTCTAGTTTCTAGGATTTTTTTCCCTCCTGAAGAGCAGCCTGACAAAAAAATGTTTTTTTCCCATGATGTCAACTCGGTAAAGCTTATTAAAGCATCCGAGAAGAAAAAAAAATATATAGGTATGCTAAGAAAACTCCAATGAAGGCCTGCCCATCAAACCAAGCCCTTCCTCGCTGGGGAGGCACTGGCCACGAGCTGGGCCAGGAGCCCTGCCGGGGCTCGTGGTGCCCATCGGCAACGGGCCCTGCTCCGCCGGGCACGCAGCTCAATTCCGGTGCTGAAATTCCCTTCCTCCCGGGGGAAGGAGCCTCCCAAGGGAGCTGTGTGCGGAGGGCGAGGAAGGCAAGGCCAGCACTATCCTGGGGACGGGAGCGACGCGGGTGCAGGCGGGATGCGGCTCAGGAAGGCAATGGGAAATGCTGAAGCGTCACGGCAGGCATCGCTGCACTACACCCAAATAATAATAACTTCTACAGAAGAGTTAGATGTTGGCATGTCGTTTAGTCAGCTCATTGAACCTCAAAAACTTAAAGCTACCCAGGCTTTGAAAGCAATAAAATATTTATAACAGTTCTCAAGTGTAAAACAGCAGACATAATTGACATTAATACCTATTGTAAGATCTCGGCAAGCACAGCATAAAGAAAATTCAGAAAAGCGCGCTACTCTCATGCTATGAGCAGTGAGATACTGGCTCACACAGTAAAGATGCAGCCCCTGAAGAGATATCCCACCTCACTGCAATGCTCCACGGCCCGTGGAAGGGGCCGTGCCGCTGTGACGCGCATGGTGACAGAGCAGTGAGGGCAGCAGCCGGCACCGCATTGCTGCCGCCTGCCCAGGCCTGTGCCTGGCCTCCCAAGAACTGGGTTCAAACGGGCCCTGCCATTCCGCCCTTCCCGAGTGGGCACTTTTCCGGGATGCAGCTTGCTCAGGAGAAGCCCCGTTTACAGGCGAAGCGGCGCCGGTGGCGGCTCCCGCTCGTCCCTACCTGTCCCCGCTGTGCCGCTGCTCGCCCCAGGTACCGTACCGGCTGTCGGGCTCCCGCACCAGCGTGTCCGTGTCCTTGGCCTCGGGCGAGGGTCTGGAGAAGCACTGCTTCAGCTGGTCCTGCACAGAGGAGAAACGACAGCCCGTCACTGCCTCATCCCCTGCATCAACGCCCGCAGGCTTTATTCGCAACTGGGTTTTTCAATGTGCAAACTGAAGTTAGAGATGATAAAACTCTGCAGAGAAACTGAAGGGGAATGGGTGTGAGCGGGTTCTAACGCCGGGAACCAAGTGCCCTGTCCCCAGTAGTGCCAGGCTGCATTGAGATTATGGGTATGTTTTTGCCTACAGAAGCACCTTCAGCAGGATGTGTGCAAAGGCAGAGCAGGGCTGGGGGCTGCAGCCCGCTCCACGGGCACGCGGGGAGGCAGCAGCGCTGCTGCTTTTGGGCAAGTTCCACGGACACAAGGAAGACCTTCAGATCAGAAGGTAAACCTGCCTGCTCACTGCAAGTCACCGCAGCACACGGTCAGGTCCTGCAAAGCCTTTCACAAATTGACGTTTGCTCACTTAAAGCTTGTTTGTTAGGACAAGTAGGACCAGAGCTCTCCTAACAGAGCGGGTCCTTCCCGCGGCCCAGCACGGACCTTGCATTCCCTAAACGATGCCTCCCTTGGCGGGCAGGACGGAGCCACGACAGGCCCGGCTGGGAAGCTCCCCGGCAGCGGGACAGCCGAGCACAGCAGCCCCGTCGCTCTGTGTTGGGCTTCCCGCTCCGCTCCGGTGCGGTAACACCCGCAATGTGTGCGGGTAATTAAGAGCGTTGGCCCCCTTTGCGTTCATTAGCCTGCGAAAACACAAACGTGCCTTTCACTGCCCTATCAGCTGCTGCCGGATGAGCTCACCACAAGCAAAGATTAGGTACTGTGTTCCACCTATAGTACGCTTTTTTCCATATTAAAAAGAAACAAAACCACACGAGCACAACGTGCAGGATGGAACTCCCAGCACGTCTGCTCGAGCCCATGACACCCATTTCCACTTCTCTGAAGAGTAGCCGGGCAGCCTTTACAAATGTATTTATATACACACACATACATGTCAGTATTATCTGACTGTTTTCAAGGACATCATTGCTACTTTTTGTGCATCGCTTTTCCTACACGTGCGGAGTCCAAACCGCTGCTGAAGGAGCCCGGGCTGTCGGGCAGCGCCGAAGCACCAGGGTGAGAGGTGCCGGGGAAAAACCCTCCCCTTTCTTCTCTAAATGCTTTCTGCCCAACCACTGGCTTACTTTGAAACGTGAGTGATGCTCAGAAGAAGCTAGTAAAAAAAAATTAATACTTGCCAAGAGCTATCACGGAGTTGAGAAAAGTTATATTGAGAAGAAAACCTGTGACCTAGAGATTTGGGCCATCATGACAATTTTTTACACTTAACTCTCTCTGCACAGCACTTAAGAGATAAGACTAAAGCGTCTGCTTGGCGATGCTATTAAAACTTTTGCTTGTTTATCAACCGCACTCGCTTTGAGCCACATGTAGGTAGGAGGAGGTCCTGAACACCAGCAGCTTCTGCTTGGCTGTCTGTTCCCTAGCCCAAATCCCAATGTCAAGCTCTCTCCTTCAGGGCTTTTCTTAAAATTTTATTTTTAGATTAAGATTTACATACTATAAAATAGATTAGTATGTATTTTTTTAAATAAAAAACGGAGCAGGAGCTCCATTAACACAAGGGCAATGCAATGGAGAAAGGAGCCTGATCTCTTCTTGGTACACAAAATAAATCCAAATAAAGAATTCTAAGAATTTTCTTGCTTAGAGAAGATATACAAGAGAAATCTTCCCAATCAAACAAATACTACACTCCATTCAGCACTCAAATGCTGTAATTCTCCCAGATTTGGTCTTTAGCTTTATAATTGTTACCAAAATAGCCATGAAGAACGTCAATTTAATTTCCACATGAGATAAAACAGCAATCAGGGCTGCACATCTATCTGGCATCTCGTTCTAGTGCTACTTGCAAAGCGATGATTTCTGCGCGCCCCTGAGCGCCGTGCGGGAATTAGGCTGGGTTTGGCAGCAATCCAGAGCTGAGCATTCTGGCAGGTTCCATTTGGGAGCGCGATGCGTGCGCGGTCCCGCTCCCGCGGCGCAGCCACCGCGCACGGAGCCGCACTGGGAAGCGGCCCCAGGTGGGAGCCGGGCAAAGCTCTTTGCAGGGCTCCGAGGAAGGGGCCCAACACGTACGGAGCACCCCCGAAACAGGTCACATAAGTCAGAACTGCACCGAGGGCTTCAAAAATACCTCTGCAACAGAGACCGGGATGTCAGGCAGCCAAAATGACAGCCCGCAGCGCAAACACTAAGAGCTGAAACCTACTGGCAGAGAACAAATATGAACAGCTAAGAGCCCAAAGGAATGAAGCTTTGACCACCTGCCTTATTAATACTATTTGCACTCCAGGAGAGTTTGCAAGTCCTTGCAAATCCGACCAACATTTCCAGTCATGTTCTTGGTGTTGCAAGAGCTCTCAGCTCAACGCAGGCAGCAATCGGGAAGCAAAGACACCAGCCGACCAAAAAAGGCTCCATTTACCCACTGGCTGCTCCACACCAGCAGAGCTCTCTGCCTTTGTCTGAGGCTTCAGGAAAAGCCCCAAAATGCAGCAGCATTCGGTGACATTTTCCTAGCTATATAAATTCACACCATTGCCTCCCTTTCTCATGATATACATGCAAAGGGATTTTGAAATACCTTTCGCCTAGGTATTTTTCCCCACACCAGTTGCTCTGCAATGGCCCATGACGCTTTTCTGGTCACGTCCTTGCTCTTACGCAGCAAGCAAAAGGAGGTGGAAGAGCCCCCAGAGAAAGGAAAGAAACACAGACCCCACCCGGGGGTTATTATTAAAAGCAAAACTATCTATTTCTGACCACCAACAGTGTGAACAGGAGGATAAGAAAGGGTACTCTGTGAAAACAGAGGATCTTCGAGCCCCTCCGGCCCCGCACAGCCGCAGGGCCGTGTGCCGGGTATCCCGTGCCCCGGGTATCCCGAGGTGCGGGCAGCCGGATGCCGGGTATCCCGAGGCCGGCGCGTACTTACGATGCGGCGGAGCAGCGCGGTGCACCAGGAGCGGGCCATGCTGGCCGGCCGGGCCGCAGAGCGGGCCGGGCCGCGCGGAGCCGCCGCGCCGGCCTCCCCACCCTGCGCGTGCGGGCGCAGATAAGCGGCGCCGCGGCCCCGACCGCGCGCCCAGCGCCGCGCGGGCCTCACAAGATCTTTTCCAAGCATGGAAGCGGTGCAGGAAGCCTGCAGAGCAAGGCAGCCACGAGCAGAACGGAATTAACTCAACCTCGTGCCCTCATGGATTTAAAATTAGCAGCTGCACAGAGCAGCCCCGCTCCTGCAGCGGGAGCGCCGCTTGGGAACGCTGCGTGCCCACGGCTGCCACTGCGGGGCCACGATGCGGGACGGGGCCACGATGCGGGACGGGGCCACGATGCGGGACGGCGCTTCCGTGCGCCCCGCTCGGCACCCCGGGACTCGCGCCGGCCCCACAACACCCGCACAACCGACACGAGGCACCGCGCTCTCCCTCCCTGTTGCTACGCAACCCCAGGCTGTCACAGCCATACGCGTTTCCTCTACCTTTTCCACCGGGATATGACAAAGAACAACCAATTATATCGTTAATGTTAAAAGCCAACGTTTCCCTTATGAAACATGGCCTGCTTTTAGAGGGTCACTGGTTTAACTCGCTATCTTTTCATCCACCTTTATGGAGTCCCATCTTGATGCACAGGCTGGAATCCTAATCCGCTCTCCTTCCCGCCCATTCCCAAAACACTGGGTAAAAAGATCACAGGGAAGCAAGCCGGCATCTCTGGAAATACTGGGCAAAGCTGCCATCTTCCTCCAAGCCCCTCGGAGCACCAGAATTCCAATTGGAGTTGCAAGGAATACAACAAACAATACTGGCACAGGAAGACACCGAAATATTGTATGGGTTTGGCTAGGACTGCATAGCCAAACTGCCCCAACACGTTTCCTGTGATTTATGTGGCATTTTATTCACACTGGTCATTCTGAAGTTTGTTTAAAGTTCACTAGAATTCACACAGTAACTGATAGTGCAGGTGTTAGCGGGCACAGCTAGCGGTTGCTGTCTTATTCAAATCCTGCATTCTAGGGCATGTTTCCGGAGCGCAGGTGCCGGAGTTCTCACTTACACAAAGCAGCAGCACAGCATGGAATAGCTTGGAAAACATTCCCAGCAGTTGCCTGCTGAAAATGCCTTCTCCCCTTCACCAGAACACGTGAGCTGCGCCACACACCTGAACGCTCCAAAAGCCACCGAGGTTTGCAGCGGGGCAGAGCGGAGCGGCCTCGGCTCCTCCTGGGAACGCGCGGGGCCAAGGGCGCCAGGAGCCTGCAAAACCTCGCCCACCAAATCCACACGGGTGATCTCAGGTCAGGTCCAGCAGCAGGTCCCAGCAGTCCCTGCCCAGCCCGACCTGCAAACCGAACAATCCTGCCCCGTCCCGTCTGCCTCCCTCTCGCCGGGCATTCCCCCTTTCCAGTGTTCCCTTTGCCGAGCCTTGCAGGAGGAGAGCCCTGCAGGTCTGTTATGTGAAGCTCAGCGGGGCAAAACAGGGAGCTGGGTTTTACTCTGAGCTGATTCTGGCCCCAGCAGAGCTGGCACCACGTTAGTACATGCGCAACCAGATCTACCCCGGATCTGGTTCTCAACATCCCCCTCGCCGCAGCTCAACCAAGGATTCCAGAAAACCCAAAGGAGAGCAGACAAAGCAGTTGGGAATATTTCCTTTCACCCTTATGTGCTGAAGCTAGGAAGAAACTACACCCCAAAAGCGACTGCAGGAGCCGGGCCCGAGGAGCCAGGGCTGCCCATGGAAGGGGCAGCAGCGCCTGTCCCGCCGCCCGCGCTCCGCGCTGCACGAGACGCCAGCCGCGCCGGGACGCTGCGACACGGCGGCGCTGCGAGGGAAGACATGGGCTTCTTGTGAAAAGCTACATGCTTGGAATCAACACCTCCTACTTGCAATGTTTTATTTCACAGCTCTTCTGCACAGTTAGTTTTTTCCTCCTAA